TCCAGATCACAAATGTTGTGATCTTTGCCAATAGAAATTGAATGCTTCTTATAGATTTTGAGTTGTGAAGTTCTAATCGAGTGGCAGCCTGATGCGGCGCGCTTGTCTAGGCAGGGGCGGAGCGCAGGCGGCCTAAATGTCTTAAAACACGCGAAGCGTGCTGCTCGGCTCCGTCTGCGGGGTACATCTAAACATTATGATCTGGCGACAACCATAATATGACGTAGAGCCTGTGAATGGTGCACACCTGGGCAGCCTTATACATGCCCAGTGTTTCCATCGTAGACGCCGAACCCATCTCCGTAGTTGTTCAAGCAAGATCGTCGGACGCTTTCCTCGAATGGCACCCAGCCGTCTGCTCCAAATCTCTTTAAAAGCTCGACCGATCGCTGGGTCTCAATTGTCGTACTTGGCTGCTGCTGTCCAGGCTCATCCGCAGGGAACTGTCGGCCAGGTGCTATGTTCCTGAAGGCATGGAGGAAGCTGTTGTAATTGAAGCGATATGCGAACCCGAACAGGCGCTCACTCCGAACATCATCCATCGTGAGCGCTGCAAGATGCAACTTTGCAATGTCCTCCACGTCGACTTGCCATTGGGGATCCTGGTCTCGCAGCTTCGTCACGAACTCTTCCTCAAATGGATGATCGAAAACGTCGCGCACCCAGCGCGCAGTACTACCTATACCCGGAATGCTGAGGGGCTGTAAGAGGATGCCGGTTGTATAATTTGGAAGCACGGTGCTGAATTCGAAGTTCGGTCGCTGCTCTTTCATGAAGTCCCACGCTGCACGTTCGCAGGCAACTTTGGATGCCGCGTAGACAGCATAGGCTCGGTCAGGCTCGTAGGGTGGTGGTGCCCATGCAATTTTCGAGATATCTTCGTTCCATGTGTTCGAATCGACATGCCTCGCCTCGCCGACCAAAGGTCTTGTAGCCGCGTTACTGCTTGACGTGTAGACAAATCGTTTTATGGACGGTGTCGATTTGGCTTCTTTCAAGATTGCCTTGATACCGTTGACACATCCAGTAATGACCACGTTAGGATCAGGGCAAAAGCTCATATCGTTCGCGACGTGAGCAACTCCTTCACAATTCTCGAGGAGGCCTTTGAATGCCCCAGGCAATTTCAAATCTGCCACAATGACAGTCTCGAATAGTTCGGATGCATTCTCATGACGATTCTGAAATATGGTTTGCACCATCTGTGCCTCTTGCTCGCTGCGCACAGCGCCCCGGACACGGTACCCAGCCCGGAGCAAGTGATCGGCGACATGGGAGCCGACGAGGCCGCTGATTCCAGTGACGAACACTCTACTTTCTTTATTAATGCCCGCCATTCTGTGTGGTTTGACGAAATAAGGGATATTGTTGTCGAGAAAATTATCTTAGTGGCAGGTGCACATGGAGCACGAGACGGTCCGATTCACCTAAACAGCTTCTTCCACCAATCACATCCAGGAAACCCAAACCACATGTCAGCTTCTTTGTTTGGAGGTAGGAACCTAACGGGTCGGCATAACCTATGGGTTATAGAATGTATATCGTGGGTCTACATGCATCGATTAGTGGCTCTAAGGTTGATACATCGTGTTCAGACTAGGACGGGGCTGCGAGATTTGACGAGTCCCCGGACGCGAAGAGAGCGATAGCAAGTAATGTTGAGACATTCTACGTCGTTGCTTAGAAAGCTAGCGTGACATTTCCAACATGTATCGCTGGACGGTCGACGATATTCCAAATCTTGCAAGACAGCGCTGTCGCATCAAACCAACAGGCCACACCATCGCAATCAAGCCTTCACAATCCCTTACAACTTCCCCTCCCCCCTCTCCCAAAACCTCCTCCCGTCTCCTAACATCCACATCCCGCGGCCCCTCGCCCTTGAACTTCGTCGTAACAACCCACTCTCTAATCCCCCTCCTCCCCTGCCCCTGCGCATCCACCTCCTTCCCCGGCCTATCCAGTACCAGGACAGCAGTGTACTTGTCCACGCCACCCACACCATCCTGGCTCTTCTCGCCATACTCGCCTTTGCCCAGCACAATCGGCGAAATGCACGCCTCCGCGAATGAAACTTCCGGCTGGCCGTCATACATACGCGGTTTAGCGAGGAAGTCCAGCAACTTCTCGCGCTCCTGTTGGAGTTGCTGCGGTGAGGGGATGGGCGAGGACGGACTAGTCACCGTGGACGAGAGGTATGGCGCGAGCATCAACGTCAAGAAGAACTGAGGTGGGAACAAAATAATCCGGTTCTGTCTCGCCAGATCGATCCATTTATTGGGTGGGAGGAAACGCGCGGCGGTATGTTCTATGCCACCGTCGTGGGTAGGGTTGGGAATCACGATTTCGTCTTCTTCCTCGAGGCCAGAGCCAGGCGGCGTACCTGTTGGTGCGGCTTTCTTGGTCGGCGATGTAGAGCCGAGGGGGAGGAAGTAGATGTACATTTGTGTGGAGAAGCGCTTGGGCACGTTGGGAGGGGTGATCCAGCGCGTGAAGGGGATAAGGGACTCGGTGTCTGGTGTTGCGCCCCAGTTCTCGAGGAGGTTGGCAAACTTGGTCTTCCCTGCATGTATGGCTCTGCGCCCTTCTTCACGTTCTCCGTCGCTGATATCGGTGAAGAGTTTGCCTGTTTTCTTGCTTTTGGCTAAGAGTATGCCGCTCTCTTCAAAGGTCTCGCGAATAGCTGCAATGCGGTACGCTGGGCCATCTTGATGTCGGCCCGGGTCGTTCACGTCTGGTATCTTGCCGTCATGCGTTTTACTGAGCGCGCCTCCTGGAAAGACGTGTGCAGCTGCGAAGCTCGAGGCTTGTTTGACGCGATGGAGGAGCAAGATTTGGTTCGTTGGAGAAATTACGAGAACACTAGACCGCGTGAGTATACTGCTATGTTCATTTTGAGATCGACATACCTCGCGCTGGGTCGTGGTACAGATGGAACCTTTGGCGCTTGCTTCGCTGGCTTGTGATCCGCCGGTGTTGACATTTTGCGCTTCTGCAATGGCAGACTGAAGGGCACACGAGCTCTGAAGCTACGACTTGTAAATGCTAAGGCTTGAGGTGTAGTACGTAGAATGGCCTGCTGTCGACGCGACAGGCTGAACACTGGAGATGGAAGTACACGCAACTTCACAAGTCGATTTTCAATGAGGGATACTTTGATTAAGCTCGGCTTTGGCATGATCAGCCGCAAATAAGGTCGAGAACGGGCGTTGGCGCGTCATTATGTTTGGTGAAGTTCACAGACGCGGGGAGAAAGATGCCGAGGTTGCAAGTAGTTTCGAAAGAGTAGGCGCGCTAGTCGACCGAACAGTCGCATTTCATCACACAAATCGAACGAAAGCTTGTATAAACATAAAGATCGTGGTATCATTGCTTTTGTGCCTGTCTAACCTCCATTCTCCAAACGTAATCCATCAAGTCGTCTTCACATGTCTGAAGTCGTGAAAGATTGAATTCACCCAACGAACGCCGATCCAATGCATGCTACAGACTTACCAAAGCCTTTGCCTAAGAGTAGAGCTTCTTGTCGAAGCTGTGCAGGCCATGAACATTGCCCTCGGCCTGTGCACTAGCAGTCCTCAACTCGAACCTGACTGTGCCGTTGTCAACACCCTCGTGCAACTCAGTCAAACTCTTGATACCAATATCCTGCAGCGAGTGCTGGACACCAGCCATAAGGTACGGGACGAACTTGGTGATGGAGCCACGGTCCTGAACTGAGCCGGAGACACCCTGTGCAACGAGAACACGGTCACCCTCAGAGAAGTAGCGTGCAGTACCGGCATTGCTAGCCTTGGCATCGGCGCTGCCCGCACCCGCCTTCTTGTCCTCCATGGCGGCGATGCTGCCCATCCCACGGTATGCCTTTACGAGCTGACCATCGCGGCTGACGAAGTACTCTCCAGGTGACTCGGTAGTTCCCGCAAGGAGACCACCCATCATGACGGACGACGCACCCATGGCCAGACCCTTGACGATGTGACCGACGTTCTGAATACCACCATCTGCAATGCAGGGTACACCGAACCGCTTGGCGAAGGAAGTGACGTTGAAGACAGAGGTAGCCTGGGGTCTTCCCACAGCCATGACCTCTTGGGTGATGCAAGCACTTCCACTGCCCATACCGATACGGAGGCCATCAGCTCCAGCAGCGATGAGAGCAGCAGCTTGGTCCCGGGTGACGACGTTTCCGCCAATCACGTCAAGCTGAGGGTACTTCTCCTTGATGTATTTGATCATGTCGACCTGGTACATACTGTTGCCCTGACTGCTGTCGAGGATGACAATGTCGAGACCAGCGTCTACGAGCTTCTGCAGGCGGATCTTGTCCTCTGGGCGAGTACCAATGGCCGCCGCCGCGATGAGCTGCTTGGAATGGGGCAGCTTTGACGCCAGAGGGAAGTTCAAGTTCTTCATCAAGTCGGAGCGCGAGAGGAGCGCAATCAGGTTGAAATCTCCGTCGACAATGGGTAATTTGCCTTTCTTCGACTTGTTCAAGATGTCATTGGCCTCCTTAAGGTCGATGCCATAGGGCGCGGTGACGAGATCGGTGGACATGACGGCTGTGACGGGGTCATCGAGCTTGTCGTGGAATTGAATGTCTCGGGGCGTGATGATACCGACGAGCTTGGAGCGAAGGCTACCGTCCTCTGAGAATGGATTGTTAGCATATTGCTTTTCGGTATATGCACAAGCCATTGTAAAAAGTTTGCATCAGTCGAAATACATACTCCACAGCACGACGGAATCGTTGCGGATGAACGAAAGTTATAAAGTAAGGTTGATCATCACAGAAAACTTGAGGGTAAAAAAAATTGACATGCTTACCAGTGACCGGGAAACCACCGAAACCCCACCTCTCCTTGAGCGCCTTGGCCTCTGCGACAGTGGTGGTAGGCGAAATCACAACGGGGTCGAGGATGAAGCCGTTCTCAAAGCGCTTGACCTTGCGCACCATCTCGGCCTGGTCATCCTGCGAGCAGTTGTGGTGAATCACTCCCAGGCCACCGAGCAAGGCAATGTGGATAGCCATGTTGTGTTCGGTGACCGTGTCCATGGGCGAAGAGACAAAGGGTGTCTTGAGGGTGATGCGCTTCGTGATGGGAGTATCGAGGTTGACGTCGATGGCGGGGAAGCCTATTGTATGAATGTTAGGCGCACTCTTCTCCTACGTTTTTTGCGCAACTGTTGGAGCATGATGAAGTTGCAAGCCATAGCAGGTGAGTTGCTTCTATAGGTCCGCGACACGAGTGTGCGCGCCAAGTAAAGTTCAAGTCTCCTGCTTATGAAGAAGCACTACTTGGGACTCACGCACCGATGTAGCCCGGGAGCATGAGGAAGTCATTGTACGTCAGGCCACCGTTCTTCTTGGAGTCGATGAGTGTCTTGACGTCAATGCCATCGCGCTCTTGGTACTCATTCTTGAGCACCTCGAGAGCCGTGGTGTAGTCCAGAGCGTTGACGGCGGTGTTGGTCATGGCGTCTCCGTTGGAAATGGGCATGACGATATAGAATACTGCTTCTCAAAGAACAGAGAAGAGCGTGTGAGGTTTGACTAATAGCGACAGACCGCAGTTGTGATGCAACTTTGGCCGGGGAAAATTCCAGTTTTCCCAAGAAGAAAAAGAAGACGAAAAGTTCGCGCGGCGGAATTTGTGGTGGGCGGCATGGCCCGAGCGCAAACCATGTGACCCCGCCTCTAGCGTGTTCCTTCCGCGTTGTTGATGATTAAGCAGCGAGCCCTACGAGATGGTGTCGCGACGTGAAATCGCTGGAGACTGCTAGGTACGCAGTAGAGCCCGTGTCCGCGCTAAGAGCTATGTGAGCTGCAATCCGGTAAAGGAGTCGTTGGAAGCCACTTGATGTTCTCGACATCTCTGGGCGGCCTAGCCGGCGCCACATGTGCAAGCAGCATCCCGTCAACGTACATGTCATGTCGAGTCCGTGTCGAATTCTCCGACACAATAGCGGCGATCCGATGAGATGAGATAGCACTCAGCGGCACTTGTGAAGGGATGGGTAAGGATGCTAGAGGTGCCCTGCCCTTGTTATGACTAGAGCAACACGCAGCACTGTACAGTCTCTCATGGGTGACAGGATGCAGCATAGGTAGCGCAGAAATAGACATAAAGAGCGATCTGCTTCGGCACATGAAGCAATAATTGACCGCTGATGTGCACGATGAGTCTGGAGAGAGGAGACGGATGAATTGGGCCTCGACTCGGACGATGCGAGGCGTGTGTGACGTGGGTTGGGCCATCTGATTCTCGTAGCGCTGTTTCCACAACAACGGCCAAAGCTTGAGCGCTTTCGTAAACAGCCGTGCACCATCCGCACATTTCCACTTTCAGATCATCGCCGCAGCGGCCCTCATAGCTATTGCCATCTTTACATTCCGCATTAATTTCTCCTTCGCAGTGCGATTATTGCTGCCGGCTGTGTCCTGCGGCTCTGTGGCGCATTTTTGGGAATTTGTTGGTTCCCGACTCTACGAATTACTGCAAGCAGGCGCGTTGCATCTTGCATCTCACTTGGCCAACATTGCGGCCTCAATCACAACGACAGCCGCCAGAACATCCTTCCACGGCGCACAACATATGTCACGTAATCTGACACTACGATAATACTCGCGAACGCTGCTCCCGCCATGAGCTATTCCTCCTACACCCCGCGAACGCGCCTTGGGCACCAGACCGCATCGCCCTCCCCACTCCGACAGACATCGACCGCCTCGAATGGCTCTTCAGCGTATTCGGGCGGCTCCCTACAACACCCACCGAGCCGGTCGAGCACACAGTCCAGCGCCGCCTCTAATGGCTATGAGCGACCGGGGCACCGGCGGGGACTGAGTGAGGCCACAGCACTCTCGCATCCGCGGTCAGAGAGCTACTTTGGCTCTGACGACACGGACCCCGCGAGCGCATTCTCCAGCGTGCGAAAGGCGCTGCGCCCTCTGCAGCAGGTGCCCCAAAGCTCGCCGCTGGCCGACAAGCCGTTGCCGGCTGTAGCGCATATCCCGACTCACAACCACATGCGATCGCATAGCGTGGAAAACATGCGGCAAACACCCTTCGATGGCTCCGTCTCGCCTCCCGCCAAACCACGACCGCTCTCAATAGCCATTTCACGTGCAGACTCGATACGTGCACCCACCCGCGATCATTCATCCCGCCCCCTGTCAACGCACCTTGAAGGCCCAGCACTGCAAAGTCTGCAAAAGTCGTCGACCGGCCATATGCGCACACTGTCCAAGTTCGCCACAGCCGGAGAAGAGGGCGACTTTGCCATCAAGTCGCCAGAGCAAGAAGTGGTGGGTCTGCATGGACGAAGGAGGTTGCAACGGTCCGACGATGCGCGAGGCAAAAAGACCGCCTCAACATGGGCGAACCGGAACTGGATGGATCAGCAACGTCAATTTCTGCAAGCATACGAATACCTCTGTCATATTGGAGAAGCCAAAGAGTGGATGGAGGACATAATCGAGAGTGACCTGCCGCCGGTCGTGGAACTGGAAGAAGCCCTTAGGAATGGTGTTACGCTCGCCGAGATTGTGCAGGCGATCAAAGGTCAACCGCTACGAATCTTCCGAGACCCCAAGCTGCAGTACCGCCATTCGAACAACTACGCCCACTTCTTCAAGTTCCTCTCGGAAGTCGAGCTGCCCGACCTCTTCCGCTTCGAATTAGTCGACTTGTACGAGAAGAAGAACGTGCCCAAGGTCATCTACTGCATCCACGCGCTGTCATGGCTTCTCTTCCGCAAAGGCATCGTCGACTTCCGCATCGGCAACTTGGTGGGTAAACTGCAATTCGAAGACCACGAGTTGGAGGCAACGCAAAAAGGCCTGGATAAGTCCGGTGTAAGCATGCCCAACTTCTCTGGCATGCAGGCAAACTTCCAAGTGGAACCGGAGCCCGAGCCCGTTGAAACAGAGGAAGATCGCATAGACCGCGAACTTGCAGAAAACGAGGACGTCATTCTCGACCTACAAGCACAAGTACGGGGCGCTCTTGTTCGCATTCGCCTGGGCAACATGATGCAAGATCTCTGGGACAACGAACACCTCATCGCAGATCTTCAATCGCGCATCCGCGGCGACTGGGCACGTCAGATCGCCTACTACCGACTGGACATGCGACGATTCGCCATCACTCTCCAGAGTGCAGCCCGGGGCTTCATGGTCCGATCAAAAAGGCGCGGCGAAGAGGTGTACTGGCAAGACAAGGAGTTCCAGGTTTTGAAGGTGCAAAATCTGTTCCGAGGTCGCAAGGCTAGAGCAGAGGTCCAGTACACTAAGTCCAAGATCCAGCGACACGAGCACGGCATCAGACAATTCCAGGCCGCGATACGAGGAGCCCTAGAGCGATTACGTGTTGGTGATAGTTACCACCAGACTCGCGATACCGAGCCGGCCATCATCCATATCCAGGCTATGATTCGTGGTGCTCTCGTCAGACACCAAGTCGATCGCGAGTGGGCAGAACTGAAGGAGAACGAGGCGCAGATTGCGCAGATCCAAGCCGTTGCTCGGGCAATGCAAATTCGCCAATCGATGCGGACTGACCAAGAAGGTCTACGTCGCCAAGAATCTGTTATTACTATGCTACAATCTGCCGCACGAGGCATCATTGCTAGAAGGAAGAATGCCGATGTGCAGGACAAGCTGGTAAGCTCTGACGTCAATTGGTGCGATCTTCAGTCCAAAGTACGAGGAGACGTCCTGAGGCACTCTTTGCAGCAAGTGCACGAAGCATTGGCTGCTGAAGAGTACAAGGTCGTGGATTTCCAAGCTGTTGCAAGAGGAGGAAGGATACGTTCAGAGGTCGCGGATACCGTCGCACAGCTGAGCGAACAGCAAAACGCCATTCTTTCTCTTCAATCGTACATTCGCGGTTTTCTTTCACGCCAGAGGCACTTCTCTGATCTCAAGGCACTACAGGCACAAGGCACGACCATTCTGGATCTCCAGTCAGCTTGCCGCGGTTTCGTTCAGCGACAACGTACCTACGAGATCCTCTGTGATCTAAATGCGCAGGAACCTGAAATCATTCAGCTCCAGAGTGTTGCCCGTGGAGTACAACTACGCATGCAAATTGGCGTCCAGCTCGGTCAAGTCGAAGAACACGAAGAAGCCATCATGGAGCTCCAGTCTTTGGCGCGCGGCATGATGATTCGCCAACAGTACGCCGAGAAGAAGCAATTTTACAAGGAGAACATGGAAAAGGTTATCAAAATCCAGAGCTTCGTCCGAGGCCGCCAACAGGGCGAAGCATACAAGAGTTTGACCAGCGGAACGAACCCACCAGTGTCAACCGTCAAGAACTTTGTCCACCTTCTCAACGACAATGACATCGACTTCGACGAGGAGATTGAGTTCGAGCGCCTGCGAAAGACTGTCGTCCAGCATGTCCGACAGAACGAGCTCGCCGAACAATACATCGACCAGCTAGACATCAAAATTGCCCTCCTTGTCAAGAACAAGATTACACTGGACGAAGTTGTCAAGCATCAAAAGCACTTCGGCGGCCACGTGGGCACCCTGCTGAGCAGCAAAGACATATCTTCCAAGGATCCGTTTGATCTCAAGGCACTCAACAAGAACTCTCGGCGCAAGCTCGAGCAATACCAAGAGCTCTTTTTTGTCCTCCAAACTCAACCACAATACATGGCACGCCTTTTCAGGAGAATACGCGAACAGAATTTGGCTGAGAAGGATGCTAAGCGCATCGAGCAGCTGACAATGAGCCTCTTCGGACTGGCACAAAAGCGGAGAGAAGAGTACTTGTTGTTGAAGGTGCTAGCACGTTCAATGAAAGAGGAAATTGAAGGGTGTGGAACTCTGCAGGAATTCCTTCGCGGCAACTTCTTCTGGGCCAAACTCTTCGGCAACTACGTACGATCACCGCGCGACCGCAAGTTCTTGAAGGAAGTTTTGGGTCCGGTCATCCGCGAGAACATTATCGAGAACGAGCACCTTGACCTGGAAAGCGACCCAATGCAAATCTACCGATCAGCGATCAACAACGAGGAGCTCCGCACTGGCCAGCGAAGCCGTCGTGATCCCAATGTGTCTCGTGACGTAGCTCTGAAGGACCCAGAAACCAGAGGAACATTCATCCACAATCTCCAGGATCTTCGAGATGTTGCGGACCAATACTTCTCCATGTTCGAAGAAATCCTTCATCGCATGCCCTACGGAGTTCGGTACCTGGCTCAGCAAATGTTCGAAGAGCTGCGCCTGCAGTTCCCATACGAAGCGCAAGAACAACTTCTCGTCATCGTTGGCCACTGGGTTTGGAAGGCTTACATCCAGCCCGCCCTCATTCAACCACAACACTGGGGTGTTGTGGATCGTGGTCTCTCGCCTGTCATGAACCGGAACCTAGGTGCCGTTAATAAGGTTCTTGGCCAAGTAGCAGCTGGAAAGCTCTTTGGTGGTGAAGACCTTTACCTTCAGCCTCTCAATAGCTATATCGCGGAAGCCATCGATCGTGTCCAGGAGATCTGGTCGAACATGATCAATGTCCGCGACGCAGAGACTCAATTCGAGATTGACGAATTCAATGACCTCTTCGCCCGGACCAAGCCGACACTTTACATCAAGCTTGCAGACGTCTTCGCCATCCACAATCTAGTCATCGACGATCTACCCAGTTTATGTCCCATGCAGGACGACCCACTTCGAGAAGTCATTCGTGAGCTCGGAAGTGCAAAGAACAACGAGAATGAGTTATTGCACGTCAGCTCAACCGAGATCACCTTGACTCTCAACCCCAAGTACCACGAGCAAGAGGGTAAGCTATCTTCCAGCTATCTTTCTTAAACTTCTGCTAACAATTCTAGATCCTGATGCGCAGATCAAATCACTCTTCATGGAGACGAAGCGTTATGTGCTTTACATCATCCGCATCCAGACTGGTGCCAACCTCACCGAGATCCTGACCAAGCCTATCATGCCCGAGGACGAAGATCGCTGGGATGCTCTTGTTCGTGAAGAGCTTGCGGCGCAGCAGAAGGACCGTTCACGAAAACACAGCCAACTGCGCTCATCTGCCGCTTCCACTTACACAACCGACATGGGTTCTAACTCCGTATTGGACCTCGACTACCCGACCCTGAAACAATACTGTCTCGAAAATGTGGTGCACTTACAACGCGCTGGCCGCATCTCACACCACAACAACTACCAGGACCTCCTTAATGCTATTGCCGTCGACATCCAGGACCAAGCATCGCCGTCGTATACAACGCGCCAAGGAACTCGATGGCGTACGAGGCACCCTCGCCTGCCCTTGACGAGAAGGCACACTTCCTGGAAGGCCAACTCAAGAGCTACAACGACTACATCGAGCAAGCCATGGTAACCCTTTCAAAGCAAAAAGGGCAAGAAGAAGTTCCTCCTTCCCTTCACACGCCAATACAACCATATGCGCGAACTCCAACGATCCGGCCGCTCTTATCTCTTCGGCTCCTTCCGCTACTCAGCCCGCAATCTAGCTGAGAAGGGCATCCTGGTTTCTTGGAACGGCTACCCAGAGCGTCAGTGGGATAGGCTCGACATCACCATCTCCTCGAATCAAACGGGCATCTTTGAAATCCAAGGCTCGCAGGGCAGCATGATGATCCCCGGTGCTTTTGCCGAAGTTCCCCTCGACGGCCTCCTTCAGGCGCAATTCGACAACCACCAATTCATGAACTTGTTCGGAGATGGTAAAGATGGCTCGGGCTCGGGCGCCGTGCGTGTAAATGTTAATCTGTTCTTGCATTTGATTTTCAAGAAGTTCTACAAGGAGGGTTAATTAGGGAATGGGCGAGGTGAAATTGGTGTTGGGTTACATGAAGGGCTGTTGGCGATACCACTTGCTTCTTGTTTGAATCACGCGATGCATTATTTGGGGGCGAAGATGGTGTTCTGGGATGGGCTTTGGGTGTACGACCTTTTTAACGATCCGATGCCCCCGCGCTATTGCGCTTTTTTTTCTTCCTGTGCGACTTAGGATATGCTTATAGTATATTGATATCTGATATTCCACAGTTGTTCCTGCTTCACATGCAATTTCGTTCATATGCAGGGCAGTACCGAACCCTAGCTCCGGTAAACTAGGCTGCCATGCTATCAGGCTCAGCCCTCCCGCCGCAGTCTTTGGTGGTGTGTGCCTTCCCCAGCACACTTCAACGGCGGTCGCAAACATCGACATTTTGACGCTGGTTCGGCACATCCTTCCCTTTCATCATGCCGGTTACTTTCGGCGCCGTTGGCGACATAATTTCGGTTTGTCACCTGGTGAAAGGTCTGGTTGATGCACTTGACAAGGCTCGTGGCTCCAAGGCGGAGTACCTCTCCGCGGTTCAGGAACTATCGATACTGGAAAAAGTTCTGTTTGAGATCGCTTGCATTATAGAAGAGCATGGCGATGGGGCGACACCCGAGCTGCAAAGCCTTTGCGAAACAGCAAAACAGGCATTCACGAGATGCGAAGCCTTGGTTGACGCCTTCCTACAGCGGACACGTCGCTACCAGGGCACTCTGACAGAGACAGCAAAACCGGAAGTGTTACATGAAGCTACCATGAAATTACGATGGCGATTGGCCGAAAAAGAGGCGCTTAAAAAATTCCGTGTCGAGGTTGCTGGAATTAGCGAAAGTCTCCAAATGCTTTTGGGTGCTGCAAACATGTAAGTACGCCGGGCGAGTTTCTTACGTGTGCTAATCCAATAAGCACTTTATCTAGCATCCTTAGAACGGAGACCAAAGTAAAATTGGAGGAGGCGGACCAGCGCTATCAAGCAGCGAATTCAATTCAGCGCGCGCAATTGAAGGACGTTTTGGACCGCATCGAGAACGTCAATGAAAGCATCAAAACTGGCAATGTCATGCTTTATAAGATAGCGGACGCACTTAAAATGGACTGGCTCCGACAGCTTGGATCCGAGTTGAAATTGCTATTATACAGGTCCGTCGCTGTCAATTTTGCTACATATCAAGCCGTCAGGCGCCAACAGACCCCTCTGCCAAGTCACGTCGAACACGGGCTCATCGATGAACCCTTCATTCTCGAAGATGCTATAGGACGCAAAGCACCTGTTCATCTGCAATTCATAACGTCCTGGGAAGCTTTCGACTCCATCCTTGAAATTCGGTTCTGTGGTAGACAGGGTCACCAAAAGGTCATCCACAAACAGTACGAGCTACAAGATGGAAGAACTGGTAGAAATTTGGAGAGGTCCCAATCGTGGGAGCGCGCGTTTCTACCTGTTCAAAGAGTACAAATGAGCATTTTGTTCCACAAACAGAGACCGATAGACTCTGGTTGTGCTGGTATTATATGTCCAGGCTGCCAGACGCCAGCGGAGAATGCTCTCGAGACCGACATTCATTGCAAACAGTGCTTCATATGGTATAGCCGGATCGCTGTCGTGGAATACGCAGATCATTGGGAACATGCCATACTAGGTCGCCTTCACAAAATTTCTTCTGGTGATGTCAGTACTGAAAATGATATTGATTTCATCAGCGACTTCACTCGCGTCAGAATCATGTCTATTCAATCAGGAAAAACACGCCGTTTACGTCACTATCACTACTGTAACGTCTGTCCTTCTGACACAAAGATGGCATATATGTGTTTCAATACTTTCTCCTATCACTTTTATCAGAAACATATGTGGAGTCTTCACAGTCATGCACAATCTGGTTTTGTCTGCTGCTCCAAGGTTTTTGAGGAAGAGTCGCTGCTGAAGCATGTATGGGGAAGACATGTGTATCGAACGTATCCACCAGCGCAACATCTGGACTAGCAGTAGCCACTAATCTCTCGGTCACAAGAACTTTCACAATACTCAGTCAGAGTCTGGAGACCAAGATTCACTATAAAGTAATCAAGAATGTGTGTTCTCTGCCGCATGCCCAGCCTGCAAGATTTGTTGTTACTTATCGTTATGTGCCACATTAACTCGCGTGCTCTTCAGTAACGCTTCTGGCGCCGCAACGATAGCCTGCAAACCACCGCCAGTGAATAAATCCCCGCATCGCAACTTCTATCGCGCGAGCAATTTGACTACCTTCCCTCCATGCGCTCAGCGAACTTCCATGTTTGCGTTTGGGCGGCTTTCGTCCAGAACTTCTTGTCAAACGACACCAGGGCCGACAGCCCCGTGCGGTGCAATCCTTCTGCGAGCGCCAAAGTCTCCCATGCTATCATCTCTTTGGCAGCTGTAGATGCGTATTGGGATAGTCCGGTGTTTGGTATACATCAGCGTGTTTTGAAACCCAGACCTTTCGAGTCGCACACATTTTCGATGTTGCTAATAGCAACAATGAGTTCCAGGACTTAGTTTTGACGCTCAAGGTCGTTTGATGGGATAGTAGCTTCGAGTTTCGGAGACTGCCAGGCATGAGTCCGGGCAATGGCGATTGCTGAGGGAAAATCTGTGTAATGGAGACCAGTTGATGAGCTCGGGTGACGCGCGGACTTGTGGTTGTTGAGAGATTTAAATTGTGGCATTGTCTCTGCGTAATTTCCGTTTGGCATAGCAAACAAAAGTCGCCTGCTGCATTTCTTGCTGGAGTTCGTGAAAGTCTCCACACAAATGGACGTTCTCACGACCTTGTGATACACCTGTTTCATGCAAGTGCTCGGGACTGGAGTAGTTGGGGTCGACCAGACGCCAATCGAAACCCGTGTCATTCTTCATGTACCGATTTCGCATGTTCAGTGATACAAATCGATCGCTGTCCGTACTGTTTCAGGGTTCTGAGCTTTCTCCAAGTATATTCAGATCAACCAAGATCAGAGGAATTATTTTGTGTAGCCTACGAGTGTGCTGTAAAGGTATGCAGTCTAGAGAGGCTAGAATATGCGACCGCATGCTGGATCATTGAAGGCCTGTGTGGTAAGCCCCCAAGTGCGCGCAACAACCAAGACACAAGGAGCTTCTAGCTACGTCTTTGTGGCCTCAAGACAATAGTTTGTTGTATCTCTGCAAGACTGTGTCCTTCAACTGCATCTGTACGATGGAACAGGCCAAGGTGGGGTTTGTAACCAGGTCCATCCAGCAAGATTTCCGATTGCCTAAGAATAGCTAAGAAGTGGTGTTCCATTTTCTCTCAAGTATAGCTAGCTATGGTACTTGTTATAACAAGAGGGACTGTCCCAGCTCCATATCAAGTTGGCGGCCAACCTTCTTTCTTTCCGCGCCTGCTCTTTCCGTTCCACATAGCTCCAGCCCCAAACAATCCAATCTCATCCCTAGCTGTCATCCTTACCACCTCTTTCTCTTTCTTTCCATATCTGCTCTCTCCGTTCCACATGGCTCCTGACCGAAATACTCCGACCTCGTCTGCAATTGTAATCCTTGCCTCATCTTTCTTTTGCGTCACCAAGAATGTTGGTATAGACAGTAGCGCCGTAATCTCTTCATCTGCTTCCTGCGGCTGCACATATTCCAACTCATCCTCTAGAGATAAAGTCGTATCCGTTGCAGAGCAATACTCTTCCTCTTCTCGAAGCATGCCTTCCGTCGAATAACCATTTTCCCATTCCTTGTTGTCGCCAACTGGGCTCTCCATCATTTCGCGCATGATCGCATCGGATTCTCGCGCTCTGCGTACCTTGCACCGACTAGGATGTACCGCCTCGACAAGCTTTCGCCATGCTCTGAGCTTGTGTGAGATTTTCTTGGGCGTGGTGAGTGGTAGGTCTCCGAGTGCTGATGCACCCGCGTCTTGAGCTTAATTAGTTTCATATGCGGATCATTGGCGTGATACACGCCTACTGAGTAGCGCTCGCTGTTCGTCTCCGTGCGTCGCACAATTATCCTCCGTTGCCGTCGAAACTCTTGCTGCGCGCGCTTGTGTTGACGCCGACTCAGAGCCAACATCAAGGGCGATTGCCATGATAACGGGGTCAGTAAGAGGCTGCCGTATGGTAAGGACTGTAGGTAAATATTATGGTGGTGTAGACTCCGCGAAGTTTTGGTAGATCGGAGGAGGTTGAAGGGGGCAAATTTTGCGCTCTCGACAAGCGTTCAACAAACGCAGTGAAGGCGGAATGGCGGCACATTATTATTCAATGACCATCGAGCACAAATTGAACTCACGCAGAGATAAACGTATCGTGCGCTTGCAACGACACATGGCAATTTGTTCACGGCGAATTTATGGACATTGAAGTTAACCTTAATGAACTGTGTGAGGATGTTGTATTCATAAGTGTTTTACTTCATGTTAGCCAATAAATGTCACAACTCTACGTCAAAGGTTCCAAAGGTCTTTGTGAAATGAAGGACCACTCAATCCTGCTCATCATGGTCCTCGCAAGTTTCTGATGGCTTGATGCCCTCAAATCAATTTTATATCATTCCCGGCCTAAACAACCTCAGCTCGCTTTGGGGCACCACTTTCACGACCTTTTCTTTCTTTAGCAAGAATGTCGGGATAGGTAACTCTTCCTCCTCCTCCTCCTCTTTGTCATCTTCTTTGTCATCATCTTCCTCCCGCGGTTGTAAGTAGTCCAAGGCGTCTTGCAACGAAAATTCCTCTTTTTCTTCTCTGTCCAGCGCGGCGAGTTTCCTACGCCAGGCGGCCGTTTCCTTTTCTTCTCCTTCAATTGCTGCCATTTCCCTGCGCCATGCTGCCTCTTCAGGATCGTAACCAATCGGGTTGGTGATTTCTCGTTTCATGACCGCGTTGAATTCATGGGCTCTACGCTTCTTTGCTAGACTTGGGCGCAACTTCTCGTAGACCTTTCTCCATGCGCGAGGCGGCAAGTCCAGTGACGAAGGCTCGTTGGAGGTCGAGTCTACCACTGTCAACTCGGGGACGATTCGGGGTGAATGGGTTTTGTTACCGTGCTTTTTGACAGCATGTAGGGTATCGGTACCATAAGACACGAAGATCATTCTGGAATGATCGGCCGATATTATGCTGCTCCCTGGTCGTGCTTGTGTGATCGAGCTCCCGGTGGGGGCAATGCCGTGTGGAAATGACATGACTGTGGACGCGTCGGGCCTCGGGGAATGGGGCAAGGCTTGAGCTCGAGCGGTGTAAATGCGATAACTTGTCCAACGGCTGGTGGAAAGTTGTCGAAGTGCAATGACTAATCGCTAGGTACTTTTCTAGAGTGAATGCTAGATCCGCACGTCACACATATGGCCGTTCCCAGTATGCCTTTACTTCTAACGGTCGACAAACTCTCGTCTGCATTGCCCAAGCAGAGCACCTGACCATGTTATGTCTTAACTCCCTGCACTCACCTCTATGCGCAAGCGTCGACCCCAATGTTCCGCGTACAAACCACACCGCCCGTTTCGTTTGCTTCAAGTGCCGTTTGCTACGGAACTGCAGCAAACCATGCCAGGCTACGCACTGAACCACCCGAAATATTGAGTTGCATAAGTGCGAGGCCATGAGTGCGAACTGGATGCCCGTGTGTATGATCGACGTTCAGCCTCTCGAAGTCCTACCACTCGGCACTGACTATTTTGGTCTCTCACCCGATCTGGCCAAGAGTAATCAACGATTCCTGTGGGGCAGTCTTCACGCGATTGATCTACTCGGACTAAGCAAGAACAAGAGTGAAGAGGCTGCGAAGAAGAGGAATTTCGAGATTAGGTTTTAAAGTGAGTTGCAGGTATCCTGTAAATGCTAGTGGGTCATCCACGATGAATTTGACGGCCTTCAACCTCACCATCACGATTTTAGTCAGCGCTCGATAATGCGGTCTGTAGTTATCAATCAACTTGCATTTTGATTTCCTAGCCTGTAAGTCTGTCAAAGTTGGATCAAACGATGAGCGTGTTCAATGTTGGTATACGCACAACTCTGGCCGATTCTCATCAATCTTGCTCTTGCCGTTCGGTGGTCTATTACTCCTCTCAATGAACACCTGAGGGAAGTTTGTGGTTTATGCACGACGTGGTGTTGAGAAAGTTGATGCTACTAAAGTAGATCCGAACCATCTCCGTGCCGCGTTCCTCCCCGCGCACGCGTTCAGCGCACGTCATCGGAGACAAACAGCAGGAAACACCACTATACATAAGTGCAAATGCATCCAACCATGCTGTCATCACATCCCCAACCCCAGAATGTCTGCAGGATACTTCCCCAAACGCGAAAAGGTTGGCCTTGAGGACCTGTTCAGCGGCCTGGTCACGGCCTCCCACATCCTGCACCACCATGGCGTCTTCGATGCGTATGGACACGTCTCTGTCCGCAGCCCAGACAATTCTTCGACTTTCTGGATGCCCTGTAATATGCCTCCGGCTCTTGTGAGCTCTGCGGAAGACTTGGTCGAGTACAAGGTGGATTCTGCTGAGGCAGTGGAGAAGAACGCGAAGCCTGGATATCTGGAGCGCCACATCCACAGCGAGATCTACAAGCGTTTCCCCACGGTCAACGCAGTGGTTCACTCGCATTCTAGCGATGTGTTGCCATATACTGTCAGCGGAGTGCCGCTCAGGAGTACAATCCACATGGCCGGCTTCCTAGGTATGCTGTCTGGTGCATGAAGATTTCACATACAGAGCTGATATTCGCGTGTTCTAGGCAAAGACGTGCCAGTGTGGGATGCTTCAAAACACTACCCGTCTGGCAGCAAGCATGACTTCCTCGTCCGCGACTCGACCCTCGGCGCGTCGCTAGCTTCAACGTTCAAGCCTGCCACAAGTGCCGGCTTCATATTCTCAAAAGTCCGATCGGCACTCCCAGCACAAGTGGGTGGTTCCCAAGGGGAACAACCCCTCGAACCTGATCATGCGGTTGTCCTTCTACAGGGACACGGATTTACGACTGTAGCTCGTGGCATTGAAGAGGCCGTATATCAATCGATATACACCGCAGAAGCGGCCAAGACGCAGACGACTGCACTGGCGATTCACAATACACACTTTAGTCACAAGATCGAAGGGAAAGTTGACGTTCAGGGCGGTGGCAGCATCAAGTCTGCAAAGGCAAATACTGAAGGCGATTTGAAGTACCTGAGCGACAGGGAGTGCGCAGACACATGGGAGTCGCTTCAAGGCACAGTCGCAAGACCTTGGGCGCTGTGGACCCGAGAAGTTGAGGTCAATTCCTTATACAAGAATGAGTGTCCGACCGGCGACGAATAAATAAACGAGCGGCGAAGAAGAACTATGACCGCTTTTAGTCCTCAGTTAGCATATTCTACCATCGCCTGTCCTCATCTCTGTCGTGTCTGTTTTCTTCGAATCAGTCTCCACGGCTAGTGCTGAGTGACAGCACTTTCTACGTTAGTTAGTATTACACTAAACAGTCAGCCTTCTGCGCCTTTCATCGAATCCGAAACACATGTCGAAGCCGTCAAGTACAAGAAGGCCGATGCACTTTCCTCATCTAGCCCTGCCAAGAAACATAAAGTGCTTGTTCCATCGGATAATTACTTCCGCCACTAGAGTTGTTCAACGTACCCCAGATTCCGATCCACGTGTTCTGCGCGAAGCTTTTACCCAGGGAATCACAAGATACCTAGGTAGCACTGCGCGCAGTCCATGAAGCAGACAAGCATGCAGCACAGGCCGAAAATTACCTTCCACATCCGCTGATTCCCCGCCATCAGGTGCTGTAAAAAGCTCGGCGATCGATATCAGATGTGGCTCAAGACGACTCCAGTCGCGGAAATGAGATTTGTTTCGGTGGAGATGTCGCCGAGATACTTTTTCGAGCCTCGTTCCCGCTATATGTCCCTGGGTATAGATTAGTCCAATTTACGAAGGCGCTACACCTTCGGGAACTATTTTCTTTAAGATGGCCGTTGAGCCTACAGGCAAATCTTTTGCGACTCCCGCTGGTCACACCTAATCATGTTGATCAAAAGCCCTCTCCTGGCTGTGGCCGCGTTCTCGTCTTCGGCGCTCGCTGGTAAGTGTGGCGGAACAAGTGACTTTAGATGTGTGGCTGACGATGTGGCAAAGCTTTCGGCGCCTCTCAGAGTGGAGACACGATCACTATCGATGCCGGCTCAGCCAACCCGCTCATCTTCCAGGTTAATTCCAAGAGCTGCGACGTCAGGTCCATCAAGTACCGCAGCGAAGAGCTACAATACCCATCGACCTTTACGCATATCGGTTCTGGCCTAGGCTCTGCGACTGTGAAGTATGAGATCATTAGCAACCAGTATGTTAAGGTAACTTGTACCACGTCCACCTTGACGCATTATATGGTTGTGAGGAGCGGCGACCCGACCATCTGGATGGCTACGTACACTACTGCTGAACCTTCTATCGGCGAATTGCGATTCCTTGCTCGTCTGAACAACAAGATACTTCCGGACCAGTACCCATACGACTTGGTATCGACGACTGGTGGATCAAGTTCGACCATTGAGGGTTCGGATGTTTTCGTGGTCAACGGTCAGACACGATCGAAGTTCTACAGCAGCGAGCGCTTCATCGATGACACCAGGGTATGGTCCTTCTCTTTCAATCTGACCTGGGCTAATAAAAGTAGCACTGTGTCAACAGTGGTGCAGTTCATGCATGCATGCTCATGAACTCGTACTCCTACGAAGGCTCGTCAGGTGGTCCCTTCTTCCGTGACATCAACACCAACAACAATGGAGACTACACATCACTTACCTTCTACATGAACTCCGGGCATGTTCAGACTGAGAAGTTTCGCATGGGCCTTCACGGCCCCTATGGCCTGGCATTCACACGCTCCGGTATCCCAGAAGGTGGCAACAAATTGGACACGACCTTTTTCAAAGACCTCGGCATAACCGGCTATGTCGCTCCCTCAGCTCGCGGTACAGTCACCGGAACAGCGACCGGCATTGGGTCCAATTTCCAAAAGGTTCTCCACTGGTACAATGACGCAGCCCAATACTGGGCGTATGCTGACAGCGCTGGAAACTTCGCTTCGCCTGCTATGAAGCCTGGAACGTACACACAGGTCCTCTACCGAGGCGAATTCAAAGTCAAAGCCTCCAGCGTCACTGTCAGTGCAGGAAAGGCAACAACCGCCAACATCGCCGCCGACACCGAGACCAAGACATCAATCTGGAGAATTGGCGAATGGGATGGCCAGCCGACAGGCTTCAGGAACGCAGATAAGCAACTTCGCATGCATCCCACTGATTCGCGCATGGCATCCTGGGGTCCCCTTACGTACACCGTCGGTTCCAGCACACTCAACGACGTGCCCATGGCGATCGTCAAGGACAACAACCCACTCACAATCAAGTTTACTGGCACGCATACTGCGGCTGCTACCTTGCGTGTTGGTACCACGCTAGCGTTTGCGGGATGTCGGCCGGCAGTGGTGGTAAATGGATACAGCCCTGCTAATCCGGCTGCGCCAAGCAAGATTGATTCTCGAGGGTTGACCCGTGGCGCCTACAGGGGCTTTGGCGAAGTTTACAATTATGACATCCCAGCGGGTAAGCTTGTCAGCGGAAGTAATTCCATCACCATTAGCTGTCTTAGTGGTTCGTCTGGTGGGGGCTTCTTGGCTCCCAATGTCATCTTGGATGCAATAGAGCTGTTCAAGTAGGTATTAGGGGTATTTCAGTGTAGGTACAAGTCACTATGTGTAGCTTCTCCGCAGACTGTGGCATACATTTGAACCTCGTCAACCCTTTTCTCGACTCGCACCTGCTTTTACTCGCCAAATTCTTCTCACACGTACGCACTATCAGCGTGGAGTTATCCACCAGCACTGCTTATTTCCGTTCATCGCCGATTCAGATTGATCCGGGGCGAGGTCGGAGGTCGGAGTCGCGGAGACGGTCCATGGGCCGTTGAGTGCTGCCGGAGGAATCTTTCCGGCACGCATATACGGCAGGTGAATGGATACTACGCATGATCCAATTATAGTGCAAAAAGTAACGACTAGTGCTTCACTGGCGGTAGTCGCGGACGAGCCCGCCATTGGCGATGAAGGAGATTGTAACCGAATGACTTACCTCTCACAATCCTTATTGTGTTGAGACTGATGTGTTCTTTTACTTAGCGTCTTGCTTCATAGGTCACTGACTCGCTACTCGGGTGCTGTACCCGGCTCCAGAGCATGATTCAGCATAGGTATGCCATCGATCGTATGACTGCGGAGTGATGAGAGTTGAGAAGAAGAAAAATGAAGTGCCCTCTCGGCAAGGAGCATTCGATAGTGATCAAATGTGAAGTGTAAGCACGACACAGGTGATCTGCACCCCGTACCTGATTTAGCTTGTCGTGCAAGTATGGAAATATGAATCCATCCACGCCGGGTCATTGAAGGAAGGCATTGGGCGCGTGGGGAGCGCAGCGGATTGCTGCAGGGTCCGATCCTCACCCTCTGGATCTGGATGACTTCCGAGAAAGGTGTGGGACTCGTTGCATGAAAGGATAGAGCCCACGCTTTTCCAAAGAAATGGCGCCACTTTTGACAGAGACCCACGCGCCTGTACAGGCCCGGGGATGTGGTACCTTTTCCAACTGCTGCTGATCAGCTGCTAGCATAAAACAAGGGTCCTCAGAATTGAGTCGAGAGGTTTTCTGATCGGTGAGCGCACGAAGAGTTTGGATTCACAATCCATCAGACTGCGCTTCTGACTACGATTCGATGATTACGGTGTTGGGAATAGCGTTGGATCATCCACAGCTCTAAGGAAAGACAACCTTGTAGACATGCAAAGACTTGACAACCTCGCGAGCGAACAATTAGACGCCAGAGACTTTAATGTCCCTTCCCAGCAAGACTGATATGTCACTACAGGAGGGCGAAACTTTGAGTTTGTAGGTATACAGCCGGTGCCCGGTGCCCAGCCACCTCGTCAGAAAGTGAGGACTGTGCGTAAGCCAGTGATCGTCGACGTGCAAATCGCCGAAAATCGTACCTGGCAACCGAAAATGCGAGTCTTTGAGCACTCAATCAGTCTTATCGTGAAGCTCTCCCCGCAAAGATCTGCTCACTGATTTAGGTACCGTTGAATTTTGGTCTCACATCAACCTTGTAGCGTCGGGCGTGAAACGCATGAGCCAAAGCACATAATCCTTGGCGTGACGAAGATAATGGAGAACACCGGCCGTAGCAGTAAGCTCAGAAGATGTTACTACCTCAAGCATGTCGCGATCATTAGTGGTAGGACGACATGTTGAAGGCGAACAGTTGGGACTGGAATGGATCCCCCTGATTATGGAGGTCCAAGACACCGTGCCGCATATGCACCACCAGGAACACGTTCCGTTGCCAAGCAAGTGCTATGTTGAGTGGAGAAGCAAGGCTCTGGACTCAGGGTATCGTTCTCACGAGTCGCCGATACAGGAAATTTGGCGAGGCGCTCGTGGCGCAAGCTGACCGCTTCGATGATGGGCCACAGACCCTCGCAGCGTTTTGCATCATGACTGAATAATGCCCGCCCGAACCTGAGGTTTAACTATGTCGGAATCTTGGTCATCCTATTTTTTATGCAAGATGCTGCGAGCTGCTCGCCCTGAATTAGATAGTGGCGTTCGGAGAAGAGCCTGTATCTGTAGATCCACCTCGTCATCTGTCAAGGCTGATCTGTCACCTGGACGAACAGAGTTGGCAATGCGACCATTCGCCAGCAAAGACCCGCATCAAGAACGTGATCAATTGCGGATTGCTATTGATCACACGAGCCCTGAGCTGACATGTCAGTCATTGAACGGCACTACCGTGGAGCGTCTCGGTGCCCACATTCCTTTTGTACGCTATTCTTCTGCTATGACGGAGAGGTTCAATCCGCTCTTGCGTACTGACCCTCATATCATAGCCATAAAATAAGGACCCGAAGCTCGTAGTTCGCTTAGCCTGTATATGCAGAAAACGCCTCGCTGGGGTCTGTAGATCATGGGGTGCAACGGTTAGGGCCTGGACCTATATTGCGACCACGGCCAGCTTTTCGCTGCCATGAAGGCCGATCTCTCGATTAACCAAGTCGATAACGAGAAGACGGCATTCTCAGTAGGTTCCATACGACGAGTTTGATGAACTGTGTGGAAACCCACGATTGCGCAACCGAAACCGAGGCATATTGGCGCTACTTTAGTGATAGAGGTATCTAGGAATCTGCTTTCTCTGGTCCCATTGTTCAAGGCCTACGTCCTAGCGCATTATACGTCTGGGGCAGAGAGACCGTTTCCATGAGCGGGCCAATAATTTAAGGTGTTGGTATGCCTACAATGGAGTGCACCTGAGCCAGGAGAATTATATTTGCCAGCAATCAAGTGCTTGACGACATCTGGCGGTAGTTAGTCCTGCACAACATCTGTCTTCGCATCTAAAGTCGGCCTAAGCCCACGCAAGGTGCTGATCGAAAGGCTGCATGACAATGTGCTTATACTAGCACGTTCACGGTTCAGGAACAGACGTTCAAGTTTGTCGAAAGTCGGCCGAGAGGCTGCATGAAGTTCACCGATGAGACTGCATGCTAATGTAGCATGTATTGCGGAAGACGTATGGGGAGGTCTCCCGAAGGCCGATAGGAAGCCCGGTGCTTCCTTGAGTAACCACTTTAGGCGAGAAATTGCAGAACATGGTGGTAGAAATGATAGTCCCGAAAAAGTGGTTGGAGCCTCGATGCGGCAGCATTGCAGTGGACGGTGCAGTGGAAAGTAGGCGGACTAGCGCTGCTCGGCTCCGGCTAGGGAAGCTCCGGGCCGCCCTGTGAGAAGTCATTCATATTTTCCTATCTCCTAACGCATGATTCACCGACTGTGGGAAACTAGCCGCTTCCGCGCCTACGTTCCGTTCGGCTCGTGCTGTCGCCTGCGCCTCTCTCTTTTCTGGAACTTGCCCCCTACAGAGCACGCACTTTGTGTACCCACTACACACTGTCGATCACCTCGACAAGAACAGCCCATTCGTGGCACAGTTCCCCGTTGTTTCAAGGCATAAGGCGAGTGTACTACTGACGTGCGTTCTAGGCCGTCATGTACCCAAAGCGATCCCCGTTACCCTGTGAGTCTGTGCTGCACGACGTGATCCTTCCGGATACTGCTTGTAATATACCCAAGCCACCAAATAAAATCCTTCCACAAGCAGACACTACAGGAGACCTGCATTTGCGCATGCTGTACCTTACCGTCCAATCATGCTCTCATGCTGTTTGGCTGCCATCCAACGTTTCATGCTCGATCAGCCAGCGAGCTCAATTCATACCGCCGAGCAGCATTCCCTGCATCGCTTTACCCACCTGCGCGACGTAGGCCTTGCAACTTGCGCAGACTTCGACCCACACACGGACTCGTTGTTCTCTTGTGCCTTTTCGTGTTGGTTAGGGAGCTCACGTCTCGGCTCCGGAACATTTTACCGGTATGCAATCCCGTGCACCAAGATAAGTATCGACCCAATCCTTCTCAGTACCTCCACAATCTACGACTTGACTACTTCTTCAAAATATACCTGCTTGATATTATACCGATGTCTTTCACTTTCCATTTGCAGAAGATCAATGAATCTTTCGATCGCATTGCCTTGTGGTAGTAAGCATCCCTCTGGAACTCCTACAGAAAGCATGTCTAACATACCTAAGTCGCGAATTCATGCATCGTACAGAGCTATGCTTCCGCGCATTGCACGAGCGCGTCATGAGGTTGGAGGATCAGCAAGCTATGCAGAGACCAAGTGATGAGCAGGTTGAAAGAGTTCTTCGGAAGATACTGGCGGAGAGGTTCTCCGAAAGAGATGTCTTATCAGTACAGAACCCGCACATGATGAAAGAGGAGGATTACTTCGTTGAAGATCGAAGGGGCCGGACCTTACCGAAGCCTGTTCGCATCGATGCTGCATCCCTTTTTGTCAACCCAGAATCCGTTCCCTCGAAAGCCTATACCGACACGTTCGAAATGCTCGATAGAGGACTTGCCGACTTTCCTGACCTCGACTCCAAGAGATTTCACGTTCAAAAAACTTGAGGCCGAGCTGCAACGTCAGATCATCTGAGCGCCAGACGGTGTCTGGCCAGCTCAGAGTTGACGGCTGCACCTTTCGATCACGAAACAACGACCCATCGGTATCATTACGCATAATGCACCCCTATTAATATCATGATGCGTTCCTTGCTATCACGATTTTCGACAACCTCCCTTCCACCAAGTCAGTGCGTCCCAAGTCTAGACCTATGTCAGACATTCAAGGTTTGACGACACTTGGCTTCAGCGTGCCAGCATGTGCAAGTGGATGTGGTGCGGCAACCTGGTTCAATCGTCGATGCATGCGAGGGTGACGTCAGCAAAGCGCGACTGGCATCAAATGTACTCGGTAACAACCATGGAGAAGCAGGGTGCTATATTTCACATTCTTATTGTCAATCGGGAGGCGTTTCACGTTAGGATATTGGCAACTCCTATGGAGATGTAGATTTAGTAGGAGAAGACACATGTTCTTTGAGCTAAAGCCGCTACGAGGAGAACAATTAGTGTTCATGTTGCTGAATGACTCGAGTAAGGCATCAATAAAGTCTACGAGAGCTCTTAAGCTAGGCACTGCACGTTCACGATGTTTTTTTCATCTCAACATGTCGGCACACGTGCCTACAGTAATCCTGTGATACAAATTCGGATAATCTGTCCAGCCTGTGACAAGGGACTTGCGCGACACAGCCTCCCGAAACGCTTGGGGACAGCCAGAACCCATCCTTTCCCGTCAGCGACTTGGTACACTCAGGACCAGATTGCCAACCCTACATCACTCCCAACGCCCGATGCCTTTCAGCTGCTCGTACGTGGTAAGTAGGGTTTCAATCGACGCAATGAGAAGGCCTCACTCTTCCAAGAGTACCGTTGGTTTCGGATATGCGACAGGCCTGAGCCAACTGCTCAATCAAATTGCTTTTTGTGTGACCAGTACGTCGACATCGTAGGAAACTCAACATGACGGTATTTGGATGTCGGTGGCGACCCGTGGCCTGACGAGAAACCTGCACTTCCCTGCGCCGCGGCAGTGACCCGTGTCGGACGCCAGCCAACATTGCCGTGGAACGAGCCGAACCAATTCCGTGGGAGTTGTGCACTTGATCCCGCTCCCGCTAGCGCACATCGTGATCGCGCATTCTGAAGAATCGAGTTAGTGTGGGGACGCTAATGATTACGTGGGACTAGCTTTCCACTAGCCACAGCCTTCCTTCTCCATCTCACGACACCCAGCATGTTCCTTGTATCATTTCTTCATTTGACCCGTACAGTTGATGCCAACGCAGAAGGGCAACTGAGATGGATTCTGTATAGCCATTTGTCCTCATTCACCAATGATTGAGTTACCCTAGGCGAAATATGCCCACCGCGGCCTTTGGATGAGCCTAGAGACGCCGTGCAGCTATGATTGACGCCGTATAGGCTGGGCGCATCTTGGTCCTGGACTCAGGCTGCTGAAGACCCACGATCCTCGGAGGAGATCAGCTATAGTCAGGAGATCGTGGCAACCCGTCTCACGTCCCACTTGAGGTCCTCAGGTACGAGATTGGGCTGCAAAGTGAAGCGGGCTGCGGCCCTGAGGTCCTGGAATATTACGAATATTCTTTCTTCTGGCTAATGCGAGGTAGATACACGCGTATTCTCGCCCTTTCGTAATCAGTCAGAAAGCATTCTAGTGGTACCACTGAAGCATGCAAGAATTGGTTATCGTCCGAGTAAAGCAGCATCGAAGTCTTCATTGCTGCTGTATTCCGATACAATTGAAGCCTCATTCCATTTGCTTTGCAAACTTTGGGCTTTCCTTTTTTCAGGATGCGCTATCATAGCACGCTTGCTGCGTGATCTTGACACAGTTCCGAATATGCACCCTCATCACGTTCATCGAATCATGCATACAGAGATCGAGACCGATCAGTCTACGAGTGGCCGGAGATTTTCACAACCACCTGTTCTTCACCCGTCAATGATTAGCGACGGATAAATGCTTCCGCTCGCCTTCTGTGCATCTGGCGGCAGCAGAGACGTAGAAAAAAGCAATTCTTCGAAGGATTCCAAACTTCACTAGTTTCGGCACAACTGCATTCTAGTCGGCGATACTATCGATGACATGCAGTGTCACGCAACTAGGGCGGCGTGGTCAAGTCGCCGATGGCTTTGATCTCAGGGTGATCGACCTCCTTAGACTCGTCACTTGCATTACACATGCATAGTCGGCTTCACTCTCGTAGCGCTCGACTGATTCCGGCGGGCCGACAGCTGAGCTCCGGCTTCGAGGAGAAGTACAACATACACACTACCATAAATTATTCGTGGTCCAAGTTGAGCTCCCGTTGCTTCGGTAGCGAGATCCAAATCCGCAGTCTCGGAATTTCATCTGATGCACATGACACATATCAACGCCCAAATCAGCGTACACCCCTAAGTCCTTCTGTTCCCCTGTCCTGCTCCCACCCTATGAGCGAGCACTGATGTTCGACATCAAAGTCTGTGTTATGTCGTTTGATCAGATGTCATCCATGACAATTGCTGAACTGCCCCCTGTCATTTGCGCCTACCAGCTATACACACAAAGCATTATTTCTCTTGAAACAAGCGGTCAAGACTTTTCTTACCTCCCACCTATTCGTCCATTACATGATGTCACCTCAATGCGGGTACCCGAGCCGACATTCCAACGGCGAACCAAGTTTACGGAGCCACACTCCGTCGTCATCAGGCATGCTCATATGTCAGCCCAGTTTCAGAAACACACCGCATAATTTCGTTGCCCTGAGCCCAACTCTCGTTCGATTCCAACGCCTCTGACCGGCCACAGAGAGGTAAGTGCAGGAGGACAACAAGAGGCCCAGACCGGGTTTACAAGGGACAATCCTGAAGGAAAATTCTTCCAAGTCACTTCCGTCCCAGCAACGTAGCCAACCAATTTCTCCAGCGAACCCCTGCAGCCCTCCATCATATATGTTGTAGTCGACAGTATAACACCAAGCCCGGGTCGACCACGACCGCGGTCCAGCTCCGACGCCGAAAGAACCCACAAGCCGCGTCCCGCACGCAACTGTGATAGGACAGGAAGCCGAGCCCGGAGGCATGTTAAGTCACCGCCACTTGCGAATGTGTAACTTGTTACTGCAGTCCGCGGCAACTTCCATTAGCAGCGAGGCAACGTCGCACAGCATCGGGTACGTCCCGCTGTGCCGCGACCAACGCACAAGAGACAAGGCAAAAACGCGTTGTTGGACGAACGTAATCTCCGGACGCGTTGAGGATACAAATGTGAGGTTTCAGGACTGACCGGAATTTTCGAACATGCGTATGCACGTACGCCGCTCAGAACATGCCTTTTGGCATAGACGCTCCATCAAGCTCTACCAATGTGTGACAGCATGAGAAAAGAGTGTGACGACATGTAGCTTTACCACCCACCCATCAAGACCATGCGCAATCATATCCCGCAAGCGCTGTGAGCCCTGTTCCCGCCCGCCCGCCCGCATGCCCGAAGGGAGGCTCATTCAGGGCCGTTAGACAAATGCAATCCCAATCCCTCCATTCGCTAGCACATCAGCAACAGGAAGGAGCAAAAGCAAAAGCCCAACCCCACGGTACCAATGTCGAACAACGCACATGCGCATACATTAACAACGGGTATCCCAGCCTACCGGCTCACCTCCCATGCTCGGTATTACAGGGCCCGACAGCAAGGGTTAGGTGCACTCAACTGTGCTCTTGCATAACGGAGGGCCAGGACAATAGTACCGCATGTCCGAGCACGGGATTGGGCACTCAAGCAAGAGCCACTCGCTGGATCAAGGATATTGGTCGTGAGAAAAAGGTATTATCGAATTTGATATTACGCCGGTTATGTATCCAGTGAAGGAAGTGAAAAAAACAGGCCTGTTCCTGATCCGTGTCGTGCCAAGTACACAGACCCGTTTGATGGTTTGCGCCAGACGCCCAACGCAATGCAAAGTTGTCGTTTATACATGTGAAAGTCTCAGAAAACAAATCATGAAACCTCCCAATAGTGACAGTTCTCACACAATGTTTTTCCAACACTTTAACTAGACCCGTGACTTCGCAGCCTCCGTTGACCCGCAACTCCTGGCCCAACACTGTTTGCAAAGTTCGTAATGCTCAAGTTTTCCCTGTCCGCGATACCCGCCACCGTCTTGCGCATCTTCTTCATTGGCAGCTTGCTCCCATCGTCCGGGTTACCTCGCTGCTTCTTACTCGGCGGGGCTGCCATGACGAAGCTATCGGAGGACTGGGAGACGAGAGGGAGAGGTTGGGTGTGAGACTCCTGCGCAACAACGTTAGGATCCAGTTCACGCAGTGACGATCCAGCACCAAATGTGATAGTGTGTGCGTGGGAGGTCGCACTAACGGAGCGAGCAAAGTTTGGCTTCGCGGTAGTGCTGAGTTTGAACATGTCGGACGGTGATGCGAGGGCGTTCGTCGCGTCGTTGAAGACGGGCTGTTTGGATGGACTGCGGGAGGAGCTCGTGTCGGAGGTATCAGGGCGGTCGCGGAGGCGGGCAAGGAGATTCTCGTGGGCTTCAGTTCGCGGTAGGTTGGAAGGAATCTGGTAGGAGACTCGCTGAGGTGTCTCGCCGGTTGGGTTGTACTCGATCAGATTCTGTGAGCCGATATTGTCGCGAAGCTGGTGGAGAGGCGCGCGAATGTCAGCATCTGCACCAAGAGTAGGCAAAGTGTCCTTGAGTGTGCCAGCTTGCGCTGAAACATCGGCTTCCAGCGACTGGACGCGTTCGAAGGATGATGACAGGTGCTCGCCGATACTGGAGTACGATGCCTGTACAGTGGAGGACAGTGAGGCAAGCGAGGCTGTATGGGCAGTGTGATGAGTGTTGTTCTGTTCGCGAATTTGGGAAACGATGTCGTCGAGAGACTGAAGCTGCGTATCCAAGTGCTCCATCTGTGCCTGAACGGTCTGTACAGTGCTTGCATGGACTGAGGTCGTGGTGTCCTTGATCGATGTCGAGTGCTGGGTTGCCGCTGCAAAATCTGATTTGATCTTAGTCTTGACGGCATCTCTGGACTTGGATACACCGGCCAGAATGTCTTGAGACTTGCTTGACCAAGCATGGATGCCCTCTGTGTATGTTTCTTGCTTGGCCTCGAACGCTGTGTTAGCTGCACCAATCTCCTCGCTCACGCCAAACAGCTTCTCGCTGAGTCTCATCTCCTGCGCATCAGCAGTAGCGCTCACAAGTGCGGTTATCTGGGACAGCAGTCGTTGGCGTTCCTCTGCGGATCTTTTCTTCTCCTCGTCCATGATGTGCGTGATCTGTCCCTGAGAGGACTTGTTGGCTTTCACTAGCGCCGCGTTCGCATCCAGGACTTGCTGGTGAAGGCGCTCATTCTCAGCTTGTTGCTCATTCAAATCCTTGACAAGATCATCGAAGGTTGTTTTGAAGTCGCGACCTAAAGACGCATATGATGAATGAACTTGCGTGTGGAAGGCCTCTAGCTCAGTGATGATGCTTGCGGAAATGGTCTCCGCTGCAGCGGATAGCTCGTCGAGACCAGCTCCGATTTTCAGCTTTACGTCCTCCCTCAGAGTTTTGATTTCTTCAAGGACTTCGTTCATGTCATCGCGAGACTTCGTTGTCTGCTCGTTGACCTCTTGTTCGGACACCTGGTATGCTTCCATCTTTTCTTGTAAGAATGATTGCGAGGCTCCTAGTTTCGCAAGCTCGTCCCTGACGAAGTCTTGCATTCGGTCAGACAGCGAAGCCATCAACTGCTCTTGTTGCTGCTGGAACTCTTCGATACGATCCTCGACGAGGCGCGTTGTGTCCAGGACGGTGGTCTGCGACGAGGTCCAATTCCGCCTGTTCTGAGACTGGAGCTCGGATTTGCGGCGGATCTTCGATCGTAGTCCATCGATATCCGAAGTGGTTTTGCCGAGCGTCGAGATCATGTCTTGTCCAATATCTGCAAGCTCACTCTCAGTCTTCTGGTGCGCTTTCCGTAGCTCCGTCTCTTCGGTGAGGTTCTGGCGTGTGTGCTCTAGCACAATCTCGGTCTTCTCGAGAATGCCTTTCGTGCCCTCCAAAGCCATTTGTGTCTGCTCGTTGTCTTTCTTCAAAGTCTGGAAGCTAGTGGTAAGCTTGAACAGATCTTCGACCTTGTTTCGAAGGTTAAGTTCCATGGTCTCGAGCTTGTCGCGCTGTTCCTCGCTAAGAATGCGTCTCGATTCGCTGATGGTGGTGATCTCCTCGTAGTTCTCCTGGGTTAGGTAGACACCGTTCCGCTGTCGTGTTGCAATCAGTTCGCTTTTCAGCTTCTCGATCTCGTAAGTAAACTCTTTCAGCAAAGTCTTTTTGTTGATGGCCTGGTTCACTTGGGGCTTGTTGCGAATATTCTTGGCTCGGAAGGCGTAGTCTAGTGTGGAAATCGTCTCCTCGAGGTTGCTCTTTGCTGGCGACAAAGTAGCAATAATGCAGGTCTTGGTTCGGCCTCCAAGCGAATCTTGAAGTAAGCGCGTGAGCTTCGACTCTCTGTATGGGATGTGGGAGCTGCGCTCTACCAGCGCGTTGATAACGCGGCCAAGTGTGAGCAACGACTTGTTGATCAATCCAGCCTCTGCTGCGCGCTTGTTCTCGGCACCGCTGCGTTGAATGTTCTCACTTCCTGCGAGATCGACGAGGTTGAGCTTTCCAGCACTGAGATATTCCTGTCCGTCCTCTGTCACGCGCTTGGTATATACCATGATGGTGAACACGGTATGACTTCGAGAACTGAGGTCATTGCACTTTGTCGCGGCAACCTGGCGCTTGTAACTTCCATCGCGAAGCATTTCGATACCATGTGCGGCAGTGTTCAAATGGCACTCCTCCATACCCTGAACTAGGGTGGTGCTGTGGCCCTTCTTGCTGTTGTCTTCGAAAATCTTCAGCTTGACTGTGTCGTCGGTCGAAAACAAGTCGCGCAATTCTTCGTTGTAAAGTTCGATGAATGAGCACTTGACTGAGCTTTCGGTTTCGGCGGCTTCGAGGCGATCAAAGAGGGCGTGCAGAACACGAGGAATGATACCAGCCGCGTCTGGCGGTGGCAGGATGTCGGAGATGTCACCAGTCATGGTGTATGTCTTGCCAGTACCAGTTTGGCCATAGGCGAAAATGGTACAGTTGAAGCCATTCAAGACCTATCAATCTGGTGAGTCTCCCTTCGCGCACATCACCAAGCAAACACATACCTCGTCAAGAATAGGTGAGACAACCTCGTCAAAGATCATGTTCTGGTCGGCGGCTGGAGAGAAGACCTTGTCGAATTGGTATTGCTTGTTGCTGAGCGCGTTGGCGCCCATGGAGAGCTCGACAGTCGTGCCTTTGATGCCGTTTGTCGAGACAACGACGCCGCTGTTCTCGCGCACCTCGCGATCATTTCGGCCTCGGCATCGAACAACGACATTGATGTTCGTCTCTTCCACCGTGTCTTCGTATTCGCGCTCTTTCCGTTTCAGTGGGGAAGACCGCGGTGCTCGCGAAGTCGAGGCTACGGATTCTGCTCGCGATGAGCGTCCATCGTTGAGTGCAGGCGTAGCAGAGCGGCCGCGCGACATCAAATTTGGTCGCGACGCGGGTGGGCGCATCGTGGAGGTTGTTCGCTTGACCTGCGGCGGTCCTGGCCGTGGGAGACCAGACATGACAGATTATGTGTATGCCGTGGTAAGTGAACCTGCTGTTAGTATCTATGTCGTTTGGCGTTCTGTGTTGATGGTCCACAACAACAGTGGGATCATTGTTTACGCGCTAAGAGATGCAGGGATTATCCTAGGAAGCTGCAGCTGGGAGCTCGGGCCCCACCATCATGAGCAGCCCTCCACAACACCATGACGCGAGCCATCTAGACATGGCCGAACACCTGAGCACTGCTGTGGCTCAATAGACTCGTTTGTAACACCTGCAGCTTTAGCTGTCGACAACCAGATAACTTACACACTGCTTGAAGACCGGTGTCTGCCGTGCCCCGTCCGCACCCCACGACCCCTCCATGTGCAGTCAAGTTCGATAAGACACTTGCACCTTTTCTTTTTACATTGGAGACCGTATTCTGCGAACTGCTCGCTTGTGTGGTAGTGGCTTCTTACCAGGGACATACCTGGGCAACTTTGGCTATGGTGTCCACGTGGACAAAGCACTAGGTCACCTGCACTCAAGCCAGGGCCGCCGTTTGTGATTAGACTATCAACTAGATTCTGCAACTCATACACGACTACTTTGAACACCACAAATATGGAGGAGGGAAGTATGCAGCTACAGCCAGGGCGAAGCGTCGGCTTCATGAGTATGCGAATAGTTTCCGCGTCCAGGGCTCTCGCTGACACCGAACAGCTCTCGGCTGCTCCCTCCACGAAGTATTGACAACCATCAAGGCAGAAGTCAAGGCTTTCCCGCGGTTCCATCTCTACCACGATGACCAACACCCGATCTCGTCTCCAATACAGCTGGTGCTGCCCGATAACGGCCTGCGGTTACAATTCGATGGCCCAGACCAGCGGTTACGGCTGATAGAAGTGCTGGATTTTGCAAAGGCCAGACTGGTGTACAAGGATATCGAGGTCCACAAGCCTGCAGAAGGTCAGAATCTGCTGGCGGCAGGATCATCGGGGCCACGCTTTAGACACGTCTATGACAAGCTACTTGGACCGACATATGGTGGAGAGTACATCCCACCCAAGTCAAAGGACCCGAATGCGAGAGGCACATACAATCTATCGTATCCTGGGGTAGCATTCAACTTCCCAGTACAACATTCGGCATATTCAGACAAGAAAGATTTCATCAGTCTTCTGTCCTCGACCGCCACTGGTCCTGCAACTTCCATGGCAGTATTTCATGGCGAATCGTGGCAGAAGGCCCGCGGAACACTCTTCACAGCGATACCAGCGAATCCAAGATCATTAGCTCTAGCAGGTAAAGGTCGCGAAGGAGGACCGGATGAGGTTGAAACGATCAAGATACATGGCGAAGGACGTATCGAGGTCGTGAGGCGGTTCGGCCCTGCGTTCTGGATTATATTAAGTGAGACAACACCACAAGATTTAACCATGGAGCTAGGGGCGCCAGACTCCATTTATCGCAAGAATGACCATCGCCTATCAATACACAAAGACCGAAGAACGAGCGACGCTTCCGATATGTCACCAGGTCTGACCTCAGATGACATGCTCGACTCAGATCGTGGCTCAGCCATCGGTTCTGATCCAGGCGACGACTGGGAAGATGACGATGAAGCAGCGCTTGAAGCACAAGAGCGAGAAGTAGCTGCCGCGGAACATTTCTACAACTACTATCAACACGGCTTCGACCTCTTGATCTCGCAACCCACTCAAATATCCCCGCCATCACCGACCGCCGAGCGAAAAGAATCAGATGTACGTGAAGAAGGCGAGCTCAGCGCACAGCCTCTGAACCACTTGACCGTTACTAAAATCATCTTCCATGGCAACGTACCGGGTTCGTACCAATTCAACCGCCACAGGAGGAGTAGGTGGACGCTAGAGCATGTGCCCTCGACCATGTATCGCGAGGCGCTCAGTTCGGAGATGCTGTTCGGCGACATATCGGGTAGGCTAAAAGAGGTTTTCAAGCCGCACTACGACAACGAGGAGCAAGAGCGACTTCAGCAAAGAGGTATGGCTCTTAATAGGGGTTGGGGTGATAGCCCGGGCAGTAGCTGCGAGCTTCTGGGCGGATGGGATGAGGGCTTGAGCAAGAAGAGCAGGTTTGCGAATCCTGGAAGTGGTATGGTCGATGGAGCGGCAGATGTGGGCAATGTTGAGCTGTTTGGATTTCCGGGCATGGTGTTTGAGGTGTTGAAGAATGGAGCGGTCAGCTCTTTGACTGTGTACTGAGTGTACCTCGTGCATCAGAGGCGTTTGGGAGATATACCAAATGGAACACGTTCTTGGAGTCCGTTTTCATTTATGTAGACACATGAAGTGCAATGAAGGTAAACATCTGTTCATCAGATCCATATTAAAATCTTCATCGCGAGACCTGCGTGAACGACAAACACAATGTTTCTTGAGGAGTACGGTTTGTTTTGGGTGAGAGGATAGATATCAATCCGTTCAAGAATCTGTCATAGGAATTCCCCGACCCAATCAATGGTAGAATCTGAGGTTCTCCTCGGGCTCCGCTAGAATAGTCGCCCGGATTCCTATATTTTGCATTTTTGTTAGTCTGTCACGTCAGGAAAAGTGAAAAGTGTCTGGTCAGTAGTGTCGCCGCAATTCGCCGTCGATTCGACAGATATGACGATTTAATAAAGTCGCCCTAGTTACTTTTTTCTAACGTTAGGTTAACGTCAGAATAGTCTAGTTACTGTCCTCTACTATTTAGCACTATGTAGCTATATTGCTTAACTGTGCTTAGTCGTTAGACTTAGCATACTAAACATTCTGTATACTCTGTAAAGAGCAGAAGAGGTAGACTACGTCAGTTACGCATATTTTATAAGCAGTCTAAGTCCTCTATGCAAATATAGCTATAGCTATTAGGCTTACTCTGTCTGTAATCTAGTGCTATTAGAGATAGAGTCTCGTATCTGCAACTACGTGCAAGCTAGTTCTGCACAGTTAGCAACTATATAAGACAGTATTATTACTCTAGGAACTATAGTAGACTTAATATATTTTAGAAACACAATTATATAGCTATTAATTGCTAATTTACCCTATATTATCTATTTAACTATTATATAGTACTATATAGGTTAGAGCAGTTTATCTCTTCTTTATATCTTTCTACTAGAGCGTTGCAGTCTTCTAGCTCTAATTCCTATTTGTCTTTTATTAGCGCTAAGGCGTATATAATGCAATTATTTATTATATATTTCTCTGCTAATATAGCAAACTCGTCCTATATGCTATCTGTTACAATACTCTAATCTTTCTCTTTATTCTAAAACTATACTTGCTTATCGTTATTATGTGTTATACTTTCTATAAAGTTATTAGCTCTACGAAACTCTCTAAGCAATATATCGTGTATTTCTCTTAATAATTCGCATAGTTGCACTCTAGTCTCTTCCTATTATCTGTTAGCTTTTGCTCTTATATTATATTAGGCATCTTGCCTCTCTCTTATTAGCCTCTATATCTTTCTTATTGCTGTAACTAGTTCTGCACTTATCTATAGTAAGAATATTATCTTCTCATTTCTCTGCGCAATTATAGTCTTCTATTAATATATTATATCATTACTGCTTATTATCTGTATATTTTATAAGAATGTTATTAACGTTATTATTATAATAGTCATCTAGTATAGTAATGTTAGATCTAGAGTTTTTAATATAGTTCGTGTATATAGCTATTTGTTATTTTAAAGCGTTCTAAATAAGAAGACAGCGTATCTTGCTTAGCCTTTTCTACTTCTTACAGATAGCGTTATAATTATCTATACTATATTAGCTATCGTTGTTTAGTGCTATTATAATATACTCTCTATAGTATAACTATAGAAATAGATTATCTTTCTTATTCTGTCGTCGTAGTACTCTTTAATAGCATTATATAATACTATGCCTATAAGCGCTATTATATTAGCGCTTAGAAACTAAAACTTATCCTAGTTCTCTGCTATAGCACTAATACTCTATTTTCTATTATTATAGAACGCTTGCGCTATAATAGCTGCAATTACACTATTTAGAAACTAAGATAACGCAGGCTATTACTCTATAAGCTAATGCTATTATATCCTAGATTAACTTATATTTCTAGGATCCTAGCGTAGGTAGACAAAATTCTAGAGCAGCTTACTTAGTTTAAGGACTTGCAGTTTAAGATAGTTTAGAGCATATATAGCTATAACCTCTATGCGTGCCTATCTTATTATATACGTCTGCAGGTTGCTATATATATCTAATATCTAATAAGTACTATTAGCTATAGTTATAGATAGTCTGCAACTATACTTACTTAGCAGGCTGTACTCCTATAGAGCGTAGTTACTATAGATAAGCAGACTAGCAGAGGCGCTGTTTTCTAAGCCTCTAACTATATATCTAGTATTAGCTATGCAAATACACTCTTATAAGCGTCTAGCTATAGATTAACAGGTGTACTATATAGCGTTATCCTATTATTTATTAATAACTGCGATAATAATATTACCTAAGCCTTATTAAGTATACTTTTATATTTAGATTACACTAGTTCTCTTATCTAGCGTTTTTATATTCTCTATAGCATTTAATAAAATAGGTCTGCTAAATAAGATAGTAGAAGAAAGGCTTATGCATATAAGTTAATATAAACTACTTTAGTAATTATAGTATCTTTGCTTATATTATACAGAACGCAGTGCGTTCTTCTATATTTAAGAGGTATGCTGCGTAGCAGCAGTATTCTATTTTAGTTTATATTAACTAATTATTTTCATTCTAGCTTAATATCTAGTCTCTATAGATTAACTAGTGCGTAAGAGTGCAGGCGTCTCTTTATTAGAACTAGCATATCTTCTAGGTTTATAAGTTTAAGACTATATAGAAGTTGCTAAGTCTTATAAGTTTAATTATAGTATAGTCTCTTATAATAAAGATAGTAGAGTTATGCTTTGCATAGTTCTTAATTTCTATAATTCTTAGTCTTGCTATTAGTATTAGTGTTTGTCTTTAATATAGACTTTTACGCTCTCTTATATCTAACTAAGTAGCTGCGCTCTCTTTATAGAAGGTAGTGCTATGCTGCTGCGCATCTACTAGTTTCTTATATTCTTTACTATAATTATGCATTTTTCTATGTAGTATGCAGGTTTATACTAGTAAAGAATTACGTTTAGTCTGCAAAGGATTAGTTATATCTTAAAGAGTATATTAGAGCATGCAGATACCTCTAAATTATTATGCTCCTTATATAGTTTTGCAAGAAGTTATCTGCTATGCTGTATAATTAGTAGATATACTATTGTTAACTATTCTCTAGTATTGCTTATAGTTAATTCCTATTAGTACGTCTTAGAGGCGCTTATCTATTGCCTTATTAGGTCTATTTAGCTTAATTTATTTAAATTACAGCTGTGTTCTTAGCGTTATTAGTACACCTAATAATATAATATATTCGTAGCATTAAGAAAAGAGCATAGCGTAGGCTTTAGCTTAATTTTTCTATAAAGACTCTCTAAAACGTTTTTCTTAAGACGCATATTATATTAATAGTTTAATTATAAATGTAGCTTTATAGAGTTTTATTATAACTATATCTTATAGTGCGCTATGCTAGCGTGCTTCTATTAATATTTATATATAAGTCTAACTATCTGCTATTTTCGTATAGTAGTATATGCTACTGCGTTTATCCTTAAACTCTACCTTTCTTTTAAGTATCTATATAAACTATATATAGTTAAAGCTACTAATATCTTTATATTCTATTGCTAGGTCGTTGCGCATATACAGCAGTTAGTCTATTTATATAAGAATCTAATCCTATTTGTATACACTAGCTACTAGAATAGTTAATAGTTAAGAAGCGTTGTTTATAGTATTAGACTATCTAGCACTATAGACTATAGCCTTAGCATATCTATTATTATTCTGCTACTTAGTCTTAGAATTATAGTTATATCGCATTTTACGTTACTTAGAGCGTATCTATTATATTACATTGTAATTATATTAGACTGCTAAGTACGTAATTATACGTAGGCAACTATTAGGCGCTGTACTTTATAGTAAGCTATTCTGTTATAACGCAACTACTCTTACTATCTGTCTAATATACTCTTTTGCAGTTATTATTCGTAGAGACTAATATAATATAGCTTATTCTCTTATCTCTCTCTTAACTTCTATATATAGTATCTTATATTTATTGCTTATTAAGGTTATTACGTTGCAAATACTATCTCTAGATAAGCGTTTCTATGTTTATTGCAGTAGTGTTATAATTGCAAAGATATAGCAATTTAGAATTCTATTATTAATAGTAGAGTACTATTATTTATCTTAGAGAACTATTATAGTATAGGTAGTCGTTGTTGCTAATTATATCTTAATAAGTTATTATTTATAGAGATAAGGCGCATGCTGCGCAGCGTCTTTACAACTCTAGTCTAGCTTATATAATTATCTAGCTAACAACCTGCAGAGATCTTCTGCTTTAACAGCTTAAGATTCTTATTAACTAGGCTTTTATACTTATTAGATTTATTACGCAGTATTACGCCTGCGTTAGCATTAGCAGATAATAAGACTTCTACGTTATTAAGAAGAGAGAGAATTAAGATTAGCATAGTTTCTACACGCTGCATAGGTAACTAATCTAATAAGTATAAGAGCTTAGTTAATAAGAATCTTAAGCTATTAAAGCAGAAGATCTCTGCAGATTTTATAATGCTAACGCATAGAATAGCATAGCAGAAGAAGAAGGACAAAGCAGACTTAAGATAAGTTAAGAGAATAGTAATATTAAGAGCTTTAGAGAGAGTAAGAGTAATCTAGAGAAGAATAGAGAGATAGATTTAGGTATAAGAGATAAGAATAAGAAGGATAAACGAGTAAGATGCAGCAAGAGCATAAGATATAGCTTCTGCTATATCTCTCTATTAACGAAAATTTTAATGTAGGAAGAAGACTTAATATAAGCAATTAACGTTTACTTTAAGATTTATAAATTATATATAAAGAGCTATCCTTAGTTATTTTATATTTGCTTCTATTAATACTCTTATAGCGTACGCAGTAAATTAATGTTAAATGTTAGTAAGTATAGGCAGTTATATTCGTCCTAGTTAATATAGTTATTAACGTAGTAAGACATAGTAGTATAAGTTATTAAATTAGGCAGGTCTCTTAGTACTAAGTGCACTAGGCAGATAATTATGCTTAGGTTATAAAACTTAAAAG